GCGCTGGACTTAGCCTGAAACCTATATGAAGACTAAGTCAACCAATGTACGCATATATGCAAGTTCCGTGAGGACTCACTTCTGGAAGTCAGCCTCGAGGCCCCGGAAAACACCCCAGAGCTCATCCTTTTTCCGCGGCACGTCCACTGTTCCGGCGGGATTCGTAGTTACCGGTGCTTTAGGCACCGGAGGTAGGACCGGCGTTGAGACATTTAGGGTTGCGGTGAGTTTTTCTAGTGAATTCTTGGCCACTAGTGATTGAGGTGAAGAACTACTAGGAGTACTGGGACTATCTGCTCGACTTTGCGTCACAATCGCGACCATCGGACGTCGCGGTCGTTTCTGTAGGATGGTCCGCCTGCGGGCGGGGGCAGTAGGCTCAGTTTCTGCACTCCCAGAATCTGCTTGGCCGTTCGCCTTGGGTGAAGTTGTCGGGGGATTTAGGGTTTGTTCCTCTGTACGTAGAGAACGGAGCCGGGAGCTTTTCCCAGATGGCGGGGAGCTTGACATCCAGGGTTTTCGAGCCAAACTGACCAGCCTTCCGGACATAGAGCGGGCTTTGGAGGGGCGAGCAACGGGCGACGGTGCCCTCGTTTCCGGAACCTGGGCAGGAGGAACTGAGGTTTCTGGGCCAGCAGGATCCGACACATCCTCTGTCGATACGGTAAAGCGAGAAACTGCGATAGTTGGTTTGTTCTTAGACCGAAGCGAGGTCCGTCGTAAGATGTCTTTGCCAGCAGCCACATCCTCTTTTGACGGAGACTCCGTCTGAACAGGATGGTTTAGGTCGGAGAACGTCCTCCGCAGACCAGGCCGGCCGGCCTCGGTGGCCGCTAGGTCCGGAAGGTGGTTGTAACTAGCGGCATGGGTCAAATGGACGTGATCGTCATCGAGATGAGGGGTTGCGAGCTCTGGAGAGGAAGAAGACATGGTCAAGGATAGCCAAGATTGGCTATAGATCCACGCAGAGGAAGAGCCCTAGCGAGGTGTACATCTCCTCCAGCCGCAGAAGGCTGGGCAATATACTATCACTCAAACGGGCGTTGGGGAGACCAGCTCCTCCATATACAACGAAAGCCACTCCCAGAGAGATCAAATCATATGCGGGTCGTTCTATTCCAGTAGCATTGAATCGTTCCGGTCACCGATGCGGAGCAAGACGAGGGAAGGCGACAAGGAAGGGAGGCTTGGAATGATGGCGGTGCAGGCAGGCAGAGGAAGGGCAAGCGACCGCGGCGAGCGAATACGGCAATTATCGACGAAGCTCGGGATAGGACTGGCTCCGAAAAGCTAAACCGGGAACCTTTAACGACGCACGGCGAACTAGGGACTGAATGTTAGCCAATGCTGGGCAGGAGAAAATGAAGAGCGAGCGGTTGATCGACGGACGGGCAGAATTCCGGCGTGAATACGAAGTATAGCGGAGTAGTAACGATCGTAAGGTTGAACGAGGGGCAGATGGGAAAGCCGGCAGGGGGGCAAGAGATAGTAGGTAGGAGATTGCAGTAGAGCTAAGACTTGCTTGCTCCTTTTCTTGTTCTTTAATATGGGCCCCAGGGAAATGATAGAGCGAAGGAATAATGGGGAGTGAACAGAACAAGCAAACGAATGTCGGAATCAACGAGGGAAGGGGAGCGGAGCAGGAACGGAGCGGAATAGATAGAGTAAGGAAAGGGGAGAAAGGAGCCGCAAGAAGAGGAGATGGGGATGAACAAGCCAGCGAGAGCCAGCGACGGCCAAAGAAAGAGAGACAGAGAGACAGAGGGGGAGAAAGAGAGAGCGAGGAGATGACGAGCAGGCCGAATGGGGCAAAGCAGATGAACTGACCGGTTTCGATAATACTTCCCACTTCCTATTACATACAAGCCAGCCCACTTGTTCTTCTTCTTCTCCTGGTGGCTTCTCTCCTCTCTAACCCTTGATTTAGCCCTTCAGGAACCCGGGCAGATGGGGCTTTCCTCAAGACTGGAGTGTAGCCCCCGTGAAGCTTGGCCCCAACAATGGAGAGTATAATGATCTCACCAAGTGGTTATTTTCTTTTGTGAACAACGACGACGATGATGATGACGGGGGAGGGAACAGTGACCTTGCGGGCGCGGAAAAGTAGAAGACGAGAAGGAGGACTGAATGGGACTCCTTCCACGTTTAAGATTGAGAAAGAAAAGAAGGCTGTCCTATCCTAAAGGTTCCAGGCAATTTGCCCAAGTAGGCGGTCGCTAAGGATTTCTTTCTTTTACTATTTCTTTTTTATTTTTTTACTATTTTTTATTTTTCTTATTTTCCATCTGCCTGCTTGTCTGGATTTTATGGCTTGATGATGTACCCCGTCCACGCATGGAGGGCCAGAAGGTAAGTAAGCAAGTACACACCGTCTGGCTTGCGCTTGGGCGGTATCGTTTATTACAGTAAGTACCGGGTATGTATGTAACCATGTATTCGATTACAATACCCGCAGTTCCCTTGTCGGAATTCGAGCGATCCGAACACCAGACTCGCCCAGAATGAAACTCCATTGTCCGTCTAGAGATGATATTGGGACGAGGATGGTGATGCTCATATGATGAGATTGAGGGGAAATTAAAGCCTGGACTTGGTATTTGTCCCCTTTATCGTCCCCCTTCCTTTCCTACTGTATATCTCACAGAACGTTGAACCGTCCGGGTGCGTCCCTGGTGCTTAAGCCTCGTAACCTATTAATACATGGAGAAGGGGGAAGGAGTTTGCCCCATGCAAGGCTGTGAAGAGAATTCAATAATCGCGTCATGACGAAATCATTCTCCAAGCTGGATTTTTTCTACTATGAATAACCCACACTGTCTTAGCAGTCCTGGACTTGCGTAGATTTAGATGTAGGTGCTATGGTAACAAAAGGGTTGAGAAGAAGGATGGATCAGATCATTGCGACTATTGATGGAAGTAAACTGTAATCGTGAGCGGTACCATACTTTACTATCTGTACTTACCTTTTACTATCTATCTACTTACCCATCCAATCTCGCTCAGCTCCGGGCTCCGATCCTTTTTGAGGCTGCATGCACGTCCAACAGCAGCTTGCAGGAACAGGTTGGGTACGCAGTAGAGTTTTCGATCCTCGTCCTAGCCCCCGAGTTGGGCAATGCGAAGCGTCTGTGGGAACGGTTGTGCTGACTCGTCCGAGGGGCGCAGTGGAGGGGAACATTCTCCCGTGTTATTATTAGTAGTGACAAGATGGGAGTTATCTATTTCGTACAGGAGGAGTACTGGGATCTTGGCAGGACCCTGATATTAGTCCCTATTTGGTTGCCGTATGGGGTAATTGTGAAACATTGTGAGTAAAGCCGCGCGCAAACTTGACTTGGCATAGGGAAATGGTTAGTCAGGCTGAAGCTGGTAAAAGAGGTGTCCAGTAATGTCAACTACTTAGTAGAAAGCGCTTCAGTGCTCTTATCAAGTGCTACTTCATGTTGCAGAGGAGTTGCTTGCTACTTATCAGTCGGGGCGTAAGTAGATGATCAAAGTGTGGTGTGATTGTTCCATCATACTCTGCCCCTGCTTTGTCAGGAAAGTAAAAGTAAAAGTAACTATCTCTGGGTGACTTGGTCTTTCACCGTCCGCGCCGTAACTTACCATTCATTGTTTGTTTGATACCACCGAATATACTTGGATCGGATCGGATCCTCACCAGTACCACCGCAACTGGAAAACCTTCCCTCCAGCATCCTCCTCCTCCTCCTCTTGGATTACTAGTCAGGTCGCTAATCAAATCTAAATTAAGTGGGTTTACATTATCAACCATAAGACAGATGTGAATTCCTGCCAATTCAATCCTCCGAAAGGAATGTTGTACAGTTATAAGCGGTCCACCTGGAGACTCCCGCTCCCATTCCATTTGACCAACGTCATCCTGTTGATAACCGGGGGATGAAGTGGCTCAGCCAGCCTTTTCATGCCTGCCACCGTTTCCCTGGTCTTCTTGTCAAGATTCCTGGAGTATGAGATTCTAAATTGGCTGACAGGCCCATCGATCGCTCAATCATTCCACAGATCGGCCCTGCAAGTATGGACGTGTCAGCCCCATAATGTTGAAAGCAAACCGAGTGCAACAACCCTTATAGTGTGATGGGTGTTGTCGACAGACAGACAGACAGATGGATCAAGACAGATTATCGTATCATTCTTTCAGTCAAAGGCCTGAGTTTTGATGGTCTAGCGGTCTGCGAAAGCAGCCCTGGCTGGAGCTGTCATATCTCACGCTTCGCACCCACTGTACAGTAGAACAACTAACGCTAAATCCCCTGCATCCTCTTCGAATCGACAGATCTTACCAACACACTACTAACAACGATGATTCGTATTGCATGTTGTTTTTAGCCCGATGAAGAAGGACACGTTATGATCGTCTCTCAGCCCGAAGTAAGGTAGATGCAGTTGCATACCCTTGAGAAGATCCAAAGATGTCCTGCCCTTCCGGTCACCGGCGCCCATGTGCACTTGACCATAACCGAAATGTACCAGATGTATTCGCAACTTTCACACGTCGCACACCAGGGTCATCATTGCAGGAGGCGAATTCCAATTTGTCTGCCTGTATCATGTCCCGCTGTACTCCGGACAGCGTTCCCAAATGGCGTGCTGGGATCAATCTGCCACTTATCAATCAGAAGAGGAGGTTCGGACGGTCGGATATATCAAACCCGCCCGCGCTACGGTCGCCTGAGGCCAATTTCTGCGCTCGGGGTACCCGCTTTGGCCAAACGTTGAGTACTACGGCTACGAAGTACTCCTCTCACTCCCTTTCTTGAATTACCTCCCGGCCGGATTATGTTCCGAAGGGATGCAAAACATACTTGACTAGAAGAGCTTGATGGCAAGAGGAAAAAAAGAAAGTTCATGTGCTCAAAGTAGGTTTAATTTACAGAAGTTACTCCAGGACTTGAACAGCGGAGGATATCACATTAAGTCCATCCCATTGTCTATAAGCCCCGACTCTCCCTGATCGTTGTCGGTGAAACAACAGATACCTAGTGAGCAGCGTGGGCCTCCTCCTCCGGTTCCTCCTCGAACCAGCTCTCCTCAACGGGAGCGGCCTCACCAGCGGCGGCCTGGCCCTCAACCTCGACCTCCTGGCTCTCGTAGGACTTCAGCTCATTGGCGAGGTTGGCCTCCTCGGGGGACTGGGGAGCGGCGGGAGGAGCGAACTTCTGGACGTGAGCGTCGGCGTCACCGGCCTTGACGGGAGTGGGCTTGTAGGCACGGAGTTCGCGGAGGTAGAGCTCCTGGACAGGGTCGGCTGCAAGACGTTAGAAAGCGTAATGCCTCATATGCACGGCTAATTTGCCCAATCCGAGTAAACATTCTCGATGGGAACCGATTCCACATTGTATGATAGAGGGTCACATACCCTGACGGACAGCCGAGGTCAGGAAAGTGCGGCGAGAAACAGAAACCTGTTGCCGAGAGACGCGGGAGAAGAGAGAGCGCTACCGAACAGGGTCAGTCACCATGTCACCCGGTTGAGTTGGAGGGTATATCGTAGGTGTATTGTAATCTTACCGACGCTCTGAGAGTCTGGGACATCATCGCGGCGGGGTGATAGATGAGGGGGGTTGGAGGTAGGTGGGTTTCTGCGAGGAGAGCAAGTGCTGATTGAAGCCGATGTTGGAAGTTCGACGTTTGTTCGGGAGCCTTCGGCTTGGCGGATGACTCAGCAGGGCGGCTGCGAAGTCCAAGTCAGGTGCATCTCCAAGCTGGGTTTGTCCGCTTCGCCCCTCAACCTCAGTTCTCTCGCTTCCTCTTCCTCTCCTCTCTTCCCTCTCGTCGTTCTTTGTTCCCCTCCCCTCTTAACCTCCCGGCCACCTCTTCCGCAAGGCCTTCCTTGTCTGCTCTGCGACACTTTTTCGTGATACAACCCTCACGGAGAGACCTTGACTGGTTCCATCGCGGTCGGGCAAGTTTGGCTTCGAGGTTTCGGGGATTACGCTGGAGAAGGTGATCACCGAGTACTTCAGTGCTTTACTCTGGGAACTTTGGCAGGACCAAGAGTCCTTCACCTGCCCGGAAAGGTAAAGCGCTAGCTTATAGAACCTGATCCCCTCCTTGAGGATAAACCTGCATGTCGGTGACTACCGGTGGACCTTCACCGTTGTCATTCATCATGTAGTTTTCACTCGGGAATCTCCTGCATCGTCTCCCATTGGAGTTGTTGTTCAGATATGCTTGGGGCATTCAGGCTAACATTGGTACAAAGGCAGTGACGTGGAGACGTACTTGCAAATCAGTCTGAGCGATTTGCGCCGCTGCTGTCCCGTTTTCTATCGCCGTTATACTGTGAGCACGCCGATTCATAAAGTCTCTCCAACAGACTTTGGTCGTGAGCCTCACCTCACCATTCGAAGGCCGTTGCACCTGCAGCTCCGCGTTTATCGACCCCTTTTAAAAAACGATACACCCAAGCTTTGTCACACTGCCTCTAAATATGGCTGCCGTTTCCCCTGCTGCCGCTAGGGCCGAGCCAGGCCAATGGAAGAAGAACCTTTCGGCCCACGTCATTTGCCCCGAGTGCAAAGAAGTGCCCCCTAATCTGGAGTTTCCTGGTTCCCATGAAACTGTTTGCGGCTCATGTGGCTTGGTCCTCGCTGATCGGGAAATCGACATGCACTCTGAATGGCGTACATTCTCCAACGACGATCAGAACAACGACGACCCTTCTCGTGTTGGAGATGCTATGAACCCGCTTCTCAACGGTGATCAGCTGGAGACCCAGATTGCTAGTGGTGGGTCGGGCCGCGTTCGCGACCTTTACCGGGCTCAGAACAAGCAGTCAAGTGAAAAGGCAAACAAAGCTCTTCTGGCAGCCTACAAGGAGATCGGTGCTCTCTGTGATGGTTTCAACATCCAGAAGAACGTGGCAGACACAGCGAAATACCTCTTTAAGATTGTGGACGATGCCAAGGCATTCAAGGGAAAGTCTCAGGATGTGATCATTGCAGGCTGTATTTTTATCGCCTGTCGCCAGTGCAAGGTGCCACGTACCTTCACTGAGATCTTCGCGGTGACCAAGGTTACGAGGAAAGAAATTGGTCGTATTTACAAGGCTTTGGAGAAGTTCTTCACTGCGCAGAACCTCGAGCGGATCAATGCTGTGGTCTCCAGCGGAGGTGTCCCTGACCCCAACGACACATACACCGCTACGACTTCCACCAAGCCTAGTGATCTTTGCAACCGTTTCTGTAACCTGTTGGATCTGCCCTTCCAGGTTACCAGCGTCTCCTCTGCTCTATCCGATCGCGTGACAACGATGGGAGATTTGGCTGGACGTTCTCCCCTGTCCATTGTGGCAGCCTGCATCTACATGGCTTCGTACCTGATGGGACATGGCAAGAGCGCCAAGGAGATATCCCAGGTGGCCCATGTCAGCGATGGTACGATCCGCGGTGCTTACAAGCAGCTATATGCTGAAAGAGAGCGCCTAATCGATCCCGAGTGGATCAAAGATGGAAAGGGTGACTTGAAGAACCTGCCTAATAGTTGAATGGGCTAGACCTTGCCCTTTTCAAGCAGTTTGACTACTCGACATTTTGCCGGAATAGCCGCTTGTGCTTCACATCCAGCGCCTTAGTCAAACCTCGCTACTAGCTACTGAGAGTAAACATGATACCCCAAATCACCTAGAGATATACACAAAAAAAAGAGAGAAGAACAAAAACAAAAACACAGATATATAATCCAAATCCATTTCATACCGTCGCATCACCATATCAAACAAAGAATGGCAATTTGCGAAAGAAGGACCCGGTAGTCTCCCAAACGAAACGAGAATGAAATCCAGAAACCAGAAAGGGGAAATCTCAGTCGTTATTTCAAAACCATCATCATATGCCGTCATTTTCCTTATACTAAACCATCTTCCAACTTCCAAAAGCAGCCCTGATAACACCCTTTCCTTATGCTTCTCGGTTCCCCGTTGAATTTTCCAAAAAACCTTCCCATTGAAATTTATTTATTCATTTGCTCGGTCCTTTAGCCTTTCGTTTCAAACTCTGTATGTAATTAATCCAGACATATCTAGCTAGCATACATGCCATGCATCATGCATCATTAGTTTTCAAATCGATCAATTCCTATTACTACTAGTACTAGTAGTAGTATCTATATAACATTCATACAGTAGATAACGTAACCCTGACAACTCTTGCAATTCACAGAACGTAAAAATCTAAACACCCAAATTTACCTCTGCAGTGGTATTATTATAGGAGTAGATCTGATCAGTAAGTCGTAAAGACTGAACTTCGGCTTAGGTGAAGGATGATGATTAGTAGAAAGTATTAGGGGCAGTGTCCCTCACGCAGATGTATCAGAAAAGTAAAGTACGATGAATGATACGAATAGCACTGCTGGAAGTGGGCACTCAAGCTAAGCTAGCTAGCTAGCTAACTGGCTGGCTAGCTGTACTTACGTGTTGTCAACTGGCGGTGGTTGTTGTCGTTGTTGTTGCTGCTCTATAGCTACTGCACAGAGGTATGGTAGTACTATGCGTGTATGTGCTATCAAGGGAGTGAAACAAGACGGTGGGGTGCACGAGTGTCTCAAGAAATGAAGGAAAAAGGAAAAAGAAATGAGAAAGCAACATGTAGAATCAGACAACCGTCAATAGCCGGTACTTCACTGGGTCTCGCCAATGTCACCTTCCGAAGGCCTTTTGCCGTCTGCAGAGGCGGCTAGGGTTTCGGCGACGTTGTCGACGTCTTGCTCAGGGGATGAGGTCTCTTTGGCAATAGGGACATCCTCCTTGACCACGGGTTCTACAGCGGGACTTGGCTCAGCCGCACTGTCAGTTGGTATTGAGTGGGCAGCCTCGGTGAATGTAGGTTCCTTGGACTCAGTGACTGTTGTGTCCTTCGGTGAAGCTGAGACTTCCTCTTCCTTCTCCGGCAATGGCTGCGGATCAACAGATTCACCGGCGATATTCTTTGCGATCGCTGGAGCCATGGTATCGGGCTTGGTATCGGGAACAGCAGAGTTGGCTTCAGATCCAACGACCAAGTTACCGTCTTCACCAACTTGCCAGACATTCAACGTTGTGGTGATTCTGACCTCAGGAATAGTGGGTAACCTCGTGCTGGCCTTCTCAACGGCAGGCTTTCTCCGCGCGGGTCCACGGGCGCGGCCCTTCCGAGCATCACTCAATGGTTGTTTCTCTACCGGGGCGGCTTCTTCCTCTTTCTTCTTCTCCTGAGGCTTGGGAGGGGCCTGCGGGCCAAGCTGCAACCGTGAGTTCAAATCCGACAGGAACCCTGCCTTCAGGGCAGCAATCTTACTACCGCCAGGACGCGCCGGTACGGCCGGTTTGGGCTTGGGAGCGATATCTTTTGATTCTTCGGGACTTGCACGAGAGATAGGCTTGGCTGGACGGGCTGGAATCTGAGGCTTGGGTCTATCCGGGATGACTGGAGGTTGACGCTTTTCAGTAGGTGAGGTGACCGGCTTCGTTGATGCATCCACTGCTGGTGCCTGCTGCGGGCGCTTCTGAGGACGTAGTGGGATGCTCGGCTTTGAGGGAACTTCTGGGCTCTTGACCTCTTCCTCTGACGGCTCTATGGTCGTCACTAGTGTATGGCTTTCAGGGGCGTCCTCCCAGATGTCACGGCTGGGGAATCTCTGCTTGGCCACTTCCGGTCGAGCGGGGGGCTTCTCGTCATGCTCTTCGGATTCCAAAATCTGTGTTGCGACCTGATGGGGATCCAAGTGACTCGCGTGGCTTCTACGGAAAGACTCTTGCTCAGGAGTCTCAAACGCCTCCTGCTTGGGGCCCTCCGGGGTAGACACTGTAGCGTGCAGCTGCAGACTGTTAGGCGAATCTTCCCAGATATCCTGGCTAGGGAATCGATGTTTGAGCTCCGGACGCTGCTTAAAGCGCTCTGCAGTTGAGACAGTCTTCTTGTCCTTAGCATCGTCCTCAGGGAACAGGGGCTCATATTCTTCGACATCTTCAAGAGGAGTGTAGACGCCTCCATGCTCTTCGCGCGAGTCATATCGCGTCAAAGCGGGCATACCACTCTGTACACTAGCAGCCCTGCTGTTAGATCTACTGTGCGTGGCGCTAGGTGTGTGACTTCTGCCTTCATAATCGACACTACCACTCCGTTCAAACGAAGGAGAGACAGCGGGGTGCTGGTAGGCCGACTCGGGGCGTACTTCGTCGGCAGCCAATATGGGCTCGTCGTCTTCATTGCCATCAGCAAAGCCGCGGTTAAGCTCTTCCGGATCCGGAGTCTGGGCGAAACCATCGGGATGGTGCAAGTGGTGGTACGGCTCGTCAACATGGATCACTCGAGGTTCTTGTGGCTTCTCAACTGCCTCTTTCTCCACAGCCTCATCCTGTTGTGCCTGGGACTCTGCGGCTGGTAAGCTGGACTTGCGGAGTGGGGACTCGAAGGCCGGACGAGAATCCCGACGTGACTCGGGAGGTGGCGATGACAAGCGATGCGTATACTCGTCGGAGGCAATGTAGCCAACTTCCTCCTCTGGAGTTCCCGCCACAGCAGGCGAGGTACCTGAAATATCATTATCAGCACTAACGTTCCGATTACAAAAGTGTATTGTTGGTTAACGTACCAAGTCCAGAGCCAGTGACAGCAGAACCTCGAACAATCTTGTTTAGGTCGTCACTGCTCAAAGCCCAATCTGGTCTAGGCGTGCCAACACCAGGACCATATTGGCCTTGTTCTTCCTTGACGTATTCCTCAGGGTGCTTCTCGTACCACGCTTTTTCAAACTTGTCGTTTGTAGGTACACCGTGCCCATGCAGGCCATAACTTCCGGGTGGCAGAGAGGCCTCACGACCACTACGGGTTCTGTTGTGACTCCGACCTGGACGTTGCTGCTGGTGCTCCACGATGTATGGACTTGGGGACGGAGCCTGGACATCGCCCGCGTTGGGGTACATGGGCACTCTCTGCCCAATCTCGGGAATTCCGTGATCATCACCGTGGAGTGACTGTCTGCGATCTGCGGACGCGGTTGAAGACTCGGCGCGTGAGCCACTAGCCCGCGAATGCGATGAGCGAGTGGGCCTTTCGGCATGATCATCATGAAGAGGAGACCCGGCACGGCCCAGACCGGCTGCTGCAGCTTGACGAGAATCTGTACGTGTGACCGCCTGCACCTTGGCCTTGGCACTGGAGGAGGGTAATGATGGCCTTGGCGCATGAAGCTTGAGATCGCTTCCCACGTTACGTGTTTCCGCGGGGGTCGACTGGTGGGCGTCGGAGGCGTTGCCAACATCCAAGTCTTCGTACTCGATACCCTCTTCACCCAGAGAAGGAATTGTGACACTCGGAGGACGGGGAGGCAGATCGGTCGAGGGGGTACGCTTCACGCCCGAACCATTGGGCAGTTCATTCAAAGGAGAAGGTGCATAGCTATCGCGGTAGGGAGACACTGAGCGCTCAATGCGGTGGGTAGGACGAGGAGGGATCCTAGGCATGTCTGCTGAGGAAGGTGCAAGGCCTTGTTGAGGTGATCTTGACGGTCGGGGAGGGATGACTGGAGCTGTTTGACTCGACATGATTGTCTGGTTGGTCTGATAAATATGGTTTCGGTATGTGCTGAAAATCAATTCTAACGATCGTCAGTCTCAGCGGAGCATTGAACAAGTGTCACATGAGCCAGTTGGATCTCGATGGCGGGGAAGTGATGAGGGTTGGGTTTGAATTGGAGCTAGCACAGGGCAGCTGTGCATACATAGGTCACGGAAACAGGACAGGATGCAGGGGCGATGGTCAGTCTGGGGGGACGTGCTCCCAGTGGGAAGATAGAAGAGAGCACTATCTCAGCTAATAGAGGAGCTAGCGGAAGAGCTGCAGAAGAGGGCACGAGGCGAACTCTGTGGCAGGGATTGTACATATGTAGCCGGAAGCAGGTCGATAAGATAGGTGCCATGCGAAGCCGCTCACATTCTTTGTTGTCTTGGCTAGTCCAACAGACTTCTGAAGGCGGATAGGAAGCCGTTCCAAGGGATTTGGAACGATAGAGAAAGGACGATACTTGCAATGACTGATAAGGGACATGGAATTGATTCGCTTACCTGGCAAGGATAACAAGTGTTGACGCAATGATGGAAGGAGGACTTCAGCCCGAGCTCTAGAATGGGGGGGAGGAACGGGGTGGGGAAAGTCAATTCTGGGAGAATTCAACAGATGAATATGAATATGATGCTGAGACAAGATGGAAATATACGAGAGAATGTGTCCGAGCGAGGGGGAATGAGGAGAACAGTGAAGAAGTAGAAACAGTAGCAAGTAGGAGGAGGAGGAGGAGGAGGAGGAGCAGCAGCTTGGCAGCAGGAGACGGTCAGGCCTGCAAGATAACTAGTCTACTAAGTAACTATGGGGATGATGTATGACTCTTGATTCCCGCAAAGTGGCCGTAACAGCCAGACTAACCGCTTTCTTCCTGCCACGGCCCACCGCCCCGTCGCGTGACGTGCTCTGACGGCATAATACCACTCCTGTCCCCTCTTGCAAACCG